CGAGGATTTGCTCGAGAGAGCCGATGCTAGAAGACATCTTTGCGGTGTGATTTTTCGAGCGTGACTGGAAGGGAGCGGAGCGGCGATGGATGAGGGCACGAAGAGACAAATAAAAATCTGATCTTCGCTGGGTTTAGCTAGCACGCTAACGTTAGCTAGCCCTCAGCTCGTCGTCGGTGTCTGTCCCCCTCCCCGTACTCTGACCGATGTGGTGTTTTCCCTCATGAATACACGCTCATTCACGCCTTCTTATATTAATGTCGAGACATGCCGGGGTCAGCGAGGACATTTCTCTCAAAGGATACAGCACCGTGGATGTCCAACACCATTCAGACGATAACGCTAGTTAGCTGCGAGCATCAGTAAACTTCATTTTCCCCGTTAATTTTTGTTTTCTCGCTCATCCGCGAAGAACAAGATGTTGGCGGAGGAAGTCTGACGGTGGACCTGAACTGGATACCCACTCCATGAAGGTCATGATACCGAGAGAATGATCATGCTGGAAAAACAGGTAAGAGATCAGCTGGCTGTATCACAGCAGCCTGCTTATTTAAACGCACACCTGGGCTTATTTGCATAATCAGGTGTTGGCTAATTACGGTGGTCTCCACCTTTTTCACAGCTTGTGTCAGAGAACACTGACACGCTTCAAGGTGGATTTAAGCAGTGATTTTTCAGGTGATCACTGCCTTTCTAACAACGACCAGGCTGCACAAATAACCAGTGTGCTTAAAGCCAGCCTCCCTCTCTCACCTGCTGCTTTAGTCTGTGAGGAAACAGTGGAAAATGTCAGCACAAGTTTCCATGACCCGGGGTTTTGTGCCAAATGTCAAAAGACGGTATAGAACAGAGAAAAGCAGCTGGAAGAAGTAAGGTGTGGAGGAAATATTCAGATTGTTTATGTAAATAAAAGTACAAAACTAACTTTGTTAAAAAACAAGCCTACTGTACAGGTGTTTGCTTTTAGATTCATTAGACTCAGTTTTACTCTGAGCTGCAGGAAATATCGGGAGCTCTGGACTTTGAGAACTGTGGGAGTGTCGGGGGTTTGCAGGGCTACCTTCTTCTTGTTTCCTCCCACAGCAGCATCAGTGTCCATAAACCAAGCTAACACATTAATAATACATCACATTAATGATGCAGCCCAGCCCCAGAGATGTGAGGGGTTTCTGCACAGTGGATTCTGGTGGACAGAGCGAATGTTGTGAGATTCAGGAGGATGATTCCTGTGCTGATGTTGTTTCTCTGGAAGCAGTCACTCCACAGGAGCTTCATCAATTTCCATAAATTGTTTATTATTGATTAATCATTCTGCTGTGGGGTTTCTTCTTCCAAAGATCACATGAGCTGGAAAACCTGAAGTGCATGTAGGTGTGAATGTATGTGTGTGTAACATGTCCAGGGTGTGCACCTGATGCCTATTGCATGCTGGAATCTGCTGCAGCCCCCTGTGACCCTGAACAGTGGCTGTAGAAAATAAATGGATGGATGAATTGGTATTCCCCCCCCCCCCCCCATCCTCATTTTCATTTTTGTGTTTGTGTTTCTCAGCTTGTGTCATTACTCCAATTAATATTTTCTCAATATTATGTTGGTAATATTTTTGTGGAGCTTTCTGTGTAGGTTTAAGGATAAATGGGGTTTTATATTGTACAGTGTGTAAAGTGCATTTGAGCCAAATGTGTGACATCCAACATGTTCCACACAAAACACAGACACTTCAAGTTACACAAGATCTGGTTTGCATGTTGCTGCATTCTGGAGTGAAAAATATTAATGCAGCGTAAGCAGGAACTGCAGATGGAGCATCGCAGCTAAAGGCGCTTTAGCATTGAACAAGAGAAAGCTGAGCCCTTCTGTTTGGGTTAACTTCAGCTCTGAAAACCATGACTCACTGGACCCCAGGTTAAAGCTGCATTAGCTAAGATTTCCCACATTGTCTGACAAACCCAGTGACAGTGGGACAGGACATGGTGTCTCCCATCTAGACCCCCCTCCATGACCCTCTGCTGCCTACAGCCTCCTGTTGTTATTCCAGCTTCTCCACCCTGTGTTGGACAAAGAAAGCGCAACAACCAGGGTTAACATGGGTTTGGCTGTTTGACATGGAGAGGGTTAAAAGCAGCCAGAGGACTCAGACTGGATCCAGATGTGGCCTTCTTCCTTCTGGATGTGTTGGCATCTAAAGCTAACCTGTTTGGTTTGGTAGCATTAGCCACCTAGCATGGTCAGGACTTTACCTTTGTGTTGAATTAATATGATTTTAATTTGGGAGGAACTGGAGCTTTGTGTCACATACACATATACAGTTGGAAAGTGCCGACAACAGTTTGGTGAATAATTCTAGGCCATATCAGCCCGACTGTTCTCCACTGATATCTTTCATACTTTGGCCAGTATAACCACGAGACATTGTATCTGTGTGGCGTTGAACATGCAGGGCGAGCCCTGAGAAATCCTGATCAAGTGAACATGATGAATCGTGTCAAAGGTTAGTGCCGAGCAGGATGAGAGTGGCTGCCTCAGTTTAACCCTGCACACACCAGCTCTCACCGTAAACAACCTTTTCTTATTCTCTCCTCCCCTCCATGTAGATCCTGCTTCCTCTTGTTGCTATTACTGATTCTTATCCTCTTTTGAAACGTGTATTTGCCTGTTTTCACTGTTGTAGAAACTGTAAAGCTGCTGCCACAGCATCCAGTTCCTGCACAGCGCTCCAGAAACCCTTCTTTTCTCCGAGCTTGACTTCACTCCAGGTCTATCTGACATATTTTCTCCAGATTTAAGTCTCGATATTTTTCCTTTCCTATTTTTCAAAAGTATTAGTGATGTGCGTGTGTGGACTCAGGGCCTGTCCTTGAAATCTCTTGCCAGAAGAATCATTTCTGCCCTGAGGGCAAATGTGTTGCAAAGTGCACGAGTGGTGCAATGTTGTGACTTGCTGAGTGTTTCTGAGTATTTCATTGTTTTGCTCAGCTTTTTCCTTTCTCGTCAGCTGTTTGTTCATTTCAGCTCTAGCTTGTTTTTCCAGCGTGCTCTCTAAGACCAACTCCACGTTTGTAATTTCCAAGTGACCGGATCAGATTTGTGTGCGTGTGTAGACACTGTAATCATTTGCAGGCGGCTTCATGCCGACTGAAGTTTTCCATCCAAAAACTCTTCAGGGTGGAAAACAAGTAGTCTGGCTGCTGCTCAGTCTGGCTGATTTATTTTTTCAGTTTGAAAGGTACAAAGCAGGTCATCAACCCCAGAGACATTAGCATTAAAGGTTCCTGTTAACCCGCTCTGCTCTGACACATGAGGTGTGATTTAACAAACAATTTGATATTTGATCAGAATCAAAAAGCCGCCCCTGGTAGGCTAGTGGTTAAGGCGCAGCGATCTCGCCACTGTGGTCTGGGTTCCAATCAGGGCATCCAGCGTAAAACACGTGCCAAATGTCAACATGCGAGTCGTCAGTGTGACGATTTGCTGTGGCGACGCCTACACGGGAAAAGCCTAAAATGACTTTCTTTCATCAGACGTGAATCACCTGCAAATGAATCACATTGGGCGTCACAGTGGTGCAGTGGTTAGCACTGTCGCCTCACAGCAAGAAGGTTCCGGAGATACAGGTCTTAAATTGTCCTCACAGTGTTCTAACAAGGTCTTAATAAAGCTTACATTTAGTACAATGAAACCTGCAGAAACCCTGACTTGTTCTCCTGCTGCATCTTGTGCTGTAAGTTGTTTTGGACCTGGAGTCACACCTTATCATTAGAGGTAGCTTTTAAGCAGATGAGGTAGCAAGAGCAATAACGAGAGGCTCAGATGAAGTGACCTCTTGTGACCTTGCGCCGCCCATCTTATCTTTGTCCAAGGCAGCAGCCCTGCAGGTCACTGTCGGGCTTCCTGTCCTGGCTGGGTATCTGTAGAGAGGAGGAGGAGGTCTTCTGTGGCCCTGTGAAGAGCCGGCTTTGCCTCCCTGTTTCCATGACAACCGCTCTCCTACAGTATTGAGCTGTGGGACGGCCTCTGTATGTGAAAGCAGTTCCCAGTGGTGTTTCAGGCCCTCTTGTTTTTGCAGCTCCTTCACTTCTTCTTCTGCTGTTGCTGTGTTTTGTAAAAGCAGCAGCAGCACTTCATCTTCACTCGCTGCTGTACTTTTAAATCTCAATGCCGAGCGCCATTTGCATCTGAATCGAGATCGAGTTCTGCCTTTGTTCCCTGTCTAAATTCCCTAAGACAACATGTTTGGACTTGAAGCCAGCATACACTTAAAATATCTAGACCAGCTGTCCAAATATTAGCCCAGGCAGAGCCAGAAATGAGGACTAAGTGACCAGTATCTAATTTATTTTGCAATATATTTCCCCAAAGGCACAGCGAAGAGCTACAAAGAGTGGATGTTTAGCCTGAAAAGCTTTGTACATTTGCACGACGATGAAACACAAAAGCAGCATTGAAGTAAAAACAGAAAGCAGGACTTGTGCGATGAACGAGATAAAAACAACCTCAGAGGCTTCAAAAGCAAATCAGAGGCTGTTTTTTTCCAGGTCAAAACAAACTCGCTTCCTTTCTATCACAGTTTTCAGCCATTTAGGGTAAAAGCTGTATGACCTATATACGATAAGTTTGACTCGCATAATGTTGAGTCTGCAGGAGGCTGTTTGTGCCGTCAGGGTCAGGCTGCAGAGATGATATCAGAGCAAAGGAAAATGTCAGAGTGGAGTTCACCTGCACACAGCAGGAACAACACTGGCTGCACTCAGAAGGCAAATGTTCAGTAAAAGTTTGGCTTCTCTTCAGCCAGATGTTTTCCACTCAGGATTTCAATTGAAAATGTGTGTAAAATCAGGTGGATTGAAACCCACCTACAGTAGTGTTTGACTGCGAGAGGTGCGGTGCACAAACACTCCGGCACTGAGCGCCGGGTAACACAACACCATCAGAGATTCAATGTTACTCAAAAGAAAGGCCGGAGTCAGCACCACAGCAGCCTCCCAGCAGATGTGCGCAAAAGAAAACAATTTTCAGATGAAGCCTGGTGACCCGCCAGAGCATCTGGTTTCACATTTACCAGCAGCAGCATTAATGAGCAGGGGGGCTGATGCATAGATCAGCCTCAGAGGCAGTCACCCCACTTCATCTTTAATGGACTCACACAGACAGTCTGGCACTACAGGAGCGGAGCCGGCCCCTCTCTCTTGATTAAATCGCTGCAGCATAATGAAGCAGAAGAGAGTCAGATGGCAGCTCTGAGCCCCTCTGTATACCTGCTGCATTTCATTTTGCAAGGCTTGTTTGTTTGTTTTCTGGCACATGCATGTGGTTCTGTGGCAGGTCCGGGCACTTCAGCATGAATGTTACAGAGGCGAGAGAAAGCAAACAGGCTGCGGTTGTGGCAAAACAGCTGAGTGTTGCTGAGCTGTTGGGCAATACCTCCAGAAGACGGAAAGACAAGAGAGCAGCTGCTGGTGGTTAACAGATTCACCGGTGGGGGAGCGAGGGAGGTCCATGAGGAGGAGGAGG